CATGTTAATTTGGTATCAAGTGTGACGCCGAGATAAGTATAGTGTGTTTGAACAGATATACTTAGATTATCAATTCTAATACTGGATATATTCAGTAAACGATGACGAGTAAACAACACCCCAGCGGATTTATTCCAAGTAAGTACCAACCCTTGGACAAGAGAGTATTCTCTTCCACTGTACATAATCCGTTATTTGAATCAATACATTCTTAATAAGTATTTTTAGAAATGTAAAGACAGAAATCATCAGCGTATTGTAATATAATACAATTAATACCTATACCAAGTAGATCCATAGTATATAGATTAAACAACAGAGGGCTAAGCAAAGATCACTTGCGGCAAACCTTGATAAACTAACCTGGGACCAATCAATTTATTATTGCACCGAATCAATACTTGTCTATTAACAAATCGATTAATCAATACCTGTGCACATCTAGTTAAGACTACTTTATGTGTAAGTTTAAAATACCGTTATCATATGCACCCGAAATATCTAGAAATAGTGCTGCTAAATAACTATAATTTAAGTAGGACTATTGGATATCAGTAGTTAATTGTGACATACAGTCGATGGTTCCTTTATTTATCTGAAAGCCTAACTGAGCTAAAAGAAATATTGCTTTGTTATCACCCTATTATTCCAATCTAATTTTTATGATCCGTTAAGACCGAAATAGGTCTTAAAGAAGTACGATCGTTTATTTTAGGTATAAGAATGACCAGACAGTGCTTAAGAGAATCACAATTATCTCCTTTTAGTAAAATGTTGTTAAATGTTTTGCATAAATATAGCAATTTCGACATTGCTAACATTAGGTAGTTTAAACCGTCCATATCTGGAGTTGTATTTTTTTAAATTTTAATGTTTGATGTAAGTTTCCTCGGAGTAATAGGAGTTAGTAAAAAGTGGGCATCGATATGGTTATCTGGTATATTTATTGGTAGATGAACACAGTCGAGAGCAATTTTAGATAAAATTTAAGAACTAACAACTCAAAAGAGTTAGATTAGATTTAAACTTTTCAAAAGACTTTTTCTTTAAAATTGATGCAGCTAAGCACTCCTCATCCCACCATGGAGGAACTTGTACAGGTTTAGTCGACTGTTTAATTGATGTGCAAGATTTTTTCACTGCGTTTGCTAAAATCATATCGTTAATATTATTAATATATAATAATCAATCGGGCGTTCCCTAAAAACGAGTAATGACGGCTAATCATTTCACCACCAGTGCACCAACACAGATGCAAAACCAACCAAAACGGTCTTTGTAAAAGCCATGTTTGATGACTACTTTAATTAGTATTTAAGGACTATCAGCAAATAAAGAAGATCTACTGTCTAATATGTGCTGAGAACACGTTGTCGATGTCCTACTGGTTCAAGAAATCCATCGAGGTACTGCAAGCCGCAGACCAAGGATTTGAGGTATGAGACTTGTACTGGAGAGACCACACAACCGGTAGGGTAGCGCAGTCTTCGTCAGACCAGATACCGACATAGTTTCCACATCTTTAATATATCGAGATGACATCGAGATCTTCACAGTGAAATTAAAGTCTTGTACGGTACCGTCCATCTACAAACCGCCAAACGCTGACTTTGTTTTTGAGGAACCGGATAACTTTTAATCACGGCAAATAAAATTCATACTGGGTGACTTTAAGTGTCACAGTGTCGCGTGGGGGTATAACGAAACAAACTCCAATAGTAAAGAACTAGAAAATTGGGCTAAAAACATGAACCTCAAACTTATTCATGATCCAAAACAGCCCTTGTCTTTCAACAGCGGAAGAAGGCACAGAGGTTACAACCCAGACAATATATTTGTCAGCGACAGGATTGGAGACCAGGTGACAAAAATTGTTAGAAGCGCCCTTCCAAAAACACAGCACAGACCAATAACTTGCTTTTTGAACGCGGCTATCAGATACGAAATTGTTCCTTTTAAGAGAAGGTTCAATTTCACTAAAGCAAAATGGAAAAATTCGCTGAAGGTTTAGATCAAGAAGTTTCATAGCTAGAACTGTGCTCTGATTCATACGATAAATTTGTACAAATCGTAAAACAAATATCACGAAAATATATTTCTAAAGGTTGCCGAACCGAATACATAGCAGGGCTAAATGCAGAATATAAACTTCTACCTAAAAGATACGAGCAGCTATATGAAGACGATTCTTTTTCGGAAGCAACAATACAGGCCGGGGAGGAAGTGCTACCTGCGATATCCGTCAACAGAACGGACAGGTGGTGCAAGCTGGTCACGAGTCTAGACATGAAACAAAACAGCAGACGCGCTTGGAAATTAATTTGGAATCTTGGCAACAATCCCATCGCCGTGGCACCCAATCTGACAAAAGTCACACCCGATCATATAGTTCATCGTCTCCTGACAAATGGTAAGGCGACATCAAGAAAGAACAAAGTGAGAGTACAACGAAATATCGACGAAGAAGAGGATGTTCTAGGTACCTTTGAACCAAAAACGGGGGCTCGAAAAAATGATGAACTGTTGCGTCCGTACATTCCAAATCCCCAATATCTGGAAGAAAGCTAGAGTGGTGGCCTTCTTAAAACAAGGAAAAGATCCGACGGATATAAAGAGTTTTAGAAATGTTTCTCTTTTGTTATCACCTTTTCAAGGCGTTCCAAAGAATAATACTGAACCAGATCGCTGAATCTGTAGACACTAAAATTATTGCTGAATAAGTAAGGTTTAGACCCGGAAAGTGCTGCTGCAGTCAAATTCTTAATCTCGCCCAACATATTGAAGATAGGTTTGAATGGAAACAAATAACAGAAGTACCGTTCATGGACCTGACTGCCGCATATGACACAGTTAACCATCTTCGGCTGCTGGTAAAACTCTACGAAATTACAAAGGATTTTCGACTAACAAGGTTAATGAAATGTTTTCTCCAGAATATACGCTTCTACGTAACACTCCAGTCCAAGAACAGTCAGTGTAGGAATCAAAATAATGGATTCCCACAGGGAAGTATCCTTGCGCTATTAGTATACAACATTAACACCAATGACAATTGAAGAAGTACTGGCTAGACTCAATTTAGAAAAAGAACTGTTGAGAACAGTCAAAAGAAGAAAAACCAGTTATTTAGGGCATTTGCTGCGCAACGAGAAATACTACATCCCTCAGTTGATAATAAAAGGCAAAATAGAAGAAAAGCGAGGAATTGGAAGAAAAAAATTGTCCTGGTTACGTAATATCAGAAACTGGACAGGACTTGGATTTGAGGAACTCTTAAGAGCAGCTGAAGATAGACAAACGTTTGCGACCATAACCGCTAACCTCCATTGATGGAGACGGCACTTGAAGAAGAAGAAGACCAACCCAAAAACCAACAAATAAGACAGTTTATTTACAGCTTACAACAATTTAATACAAACAATTTAAAAAGAATCGAGGCCTTCGAACTCTGCTTATACCGCAGATTATTGAAAATATCATGGACTGATAGAATTACAAATAAAGAAGTACTGGAGAGGGTTGGTAAAGAAACAGAACTAATCACCACTATACAAACCAGAAAACTGGAATACCTAGGCCACGTGATGAAGGGACCAAAATATGAAATTTTGAGACTGATAATACAGGGAAAGATTCAAGGAAGAAGATCTGTTGGCCGAAGGCAGAACTCATGGTTAAAGAATCTACGTGATTGGTACCAATGCAGATCGATTGATTTGTTTAGAGCAGCAAGTTCTAAAATAAAAATAGCCATTATGATTGCCAACAACAAGGAAGTGCCTTCAATGATGTCGAAGTAAAACTGACAGATGTTCTAGAAGACTTAGCACTATACTATGACGAAAATCATCTGAAACCCAATCCTACATAACCCAAATGATAGAACTATGTCTTATCGATATCACTGTCAAGATAAGTCATTATGTTTTTCTGCCGCCGAGTTTGGAGCACCAGTGTGGGAAAACTCTGCTCAGGCTAAAAACGTGGATGTTGCGTTAAATAAAAACGGTTCGTATAATATCTGGTTGTCTGAAACCGACACCAATCGAAGAGGTCTACCCTATAGTTGGAATCACTCCACCTGCTATCAGAAGACAGGTCACGTCAGAGATAGAACGAAGAAAGCAGAAAACGAATCGAAGATACCCCTTGTATGACCACCAAGTTCAGCCAAGTAGATTAAGATCGCGGAAAAGCTTTATGAAAAAATCACGATGCCTTCCCGAAGAGCCAAAGTCGCGCCGAATACACCTATGCAAGCGTCAGCCACAACACATTTTGCTCCCTTACAGGAAATGGCCGCTGGGCACAATTTACCGTATCCCACATGGAAACAGACTAAGAGCTGGCGTTTCACGTTGTGCTAGTATCCTGAAGAAATGGGGATACCAGGAGAAAGATACCCGCGACTGTGGCGTGGCGCGGTTCCTGCACAGAAGAAGACCTATTCTTAGCGAATGAGAGGTTCATCTATGTGGCCAACCATTGGAAACACAAAATTTAAAGCTGTTGGTATTCTGGACACGGAAATTAAGTATTATTAATTACCGGCTGCAATCGACTTGTAAAGTTATTTTTGCCATAATTAAGCAACAAATTAACAAACATAACTTTAAAAACTCTCCTTTCAAACGATTTTCTATGCTTTTCCAGTAGAGTAGAGTAAAGACTTTTGTTTTTTTATATTATTTTCCAATATTCACCTTTAGTGTGTATTAAAATCAAATAGCGATCTTACATTGTTTATATTTTGTTTATAAGTAAAAAATTCACATTTAATATTTTGTGTATCTTATTTATTACACATTGTTATCACCCAATTTATTAAAAGCAATTGTTAAATACTTGTATCAAAGAGTGTCCGGAAAAAGGCGTTTTATTTGCTAATTTTCCAGGTCTATTATAGCTATATACCCAGCACGGATTTCCAGCGTGCATAATTTTTACGTTAGCTTTCTCAGTATAAGACCTATACTATACTTAAATTAAGATAATACTTAGTATTAAAATATTGTTTGCCATCAGTAGTTACAAAGAGTGCGATAAGATATATAAATATCTGCTTAGAGAACTAATTTTTGTTTTATACGGCGGTGGTTGGAAAAGCAATAAAGGTAGCGTAAACTTTAAACATTATTATTATTATTGGCAATTTCTCCCTTTAAGGGAAGTTAGTAGCAACGTGAATCACTTCTTTACAGTGTTATTTTAATTTGGCCCCAAACCTGTTAGATATAGTTAGGTAACCTCAAAACACCAAAGTTAGCTATAACTTAATTATTTTTTCTTCTTCCAGTTCTTCCTTTTCCATTAGTATTATTATTATTATAATTTACGCTAATTGCCTATTTTTAAGAATACCTCTCCTAGTTGTTTTTAGATTGTGACTTTTTCGTGTACAGATGCATCTTCATTGAGTGCATTACATTCGCCTAATATAGTAATTTTGTGTTCGTAGATGTTAAAATTTGCAATGACTATCTGTTTATAAAATGGTAGGTTGTCACTCCATCTTTTGAGCGGTCGTCCAATACTTCTGCCGATTGGTGACTTATTTATTGCTATTTTGACGAAACAGGTCTCCATAATCTGCTTATGTGGTTATTCCATTCTGTTTTCTATTTTGTATCCATTCATTTATACACTGGATATTACATTTTCACCTAATGTCCTCACTTCTCTTTCGATTTTTCAGCGTATTTCCTGTAATTGTTTTCAGTACTCTGATCTCTGCCATTTACAGTAGCCTGTGTGTTGTGGCTGTATCAGGTCTTGTTTCTGAGGCATATGTCATTATTGGTCTTGTGTCTGTTTCGACATATAGTATAATTTAGTCCTGTCGGTCTATTTGCTTTTTGTACTTGATCTCTCACTTCTTTATCCATCCCTACATAGCTGAACAATGTAATTCCAAAGTATTTTATTTCCATTACTTGTTCAATACTGATACCGTCAATTTCTATTTTACTTTCACATCTGGTTGGTTCTTTGCTAATTACTATTGTTTATAGTTGTCTGAGATGAAACTGTCAAATTAAATTCTTTTGCTTTTGTGTTAAATCTTTGGACCAGTCTTTTCAATCTATCTTCATGTTGGGCTATCAATATTGCAACGTCCGCGTAACAGATTATTCAAGGGCATAGGGCTCAATGAGTCCTCTCGTCTTATTCCGCAACATATTTATATATTTTCTGTAAGTTGTCCATCTATTCTGACTTCCATTTTGTTGTTTTGGTAGAGGTTTTCGATAGTTTTTATAATATTTAGGGAAGGTTTTTATCCAAATGCTTTCTGGTCTCTGCCAAATTGCTCTTTAAATTGCTTTTTAAGTCAATCAGATACAGAAATGCTGCTCTATTATTCTCTAGTAATTTCTCAGTAATTTGCTTTATAACGAATATTGCATCTGTACACGATCTTCCACTAAAAAAACGATGTTGTTCGTCTGCTAAACTTATCTTCTGATTTATTAGTACTTGTAAAAGTTATAAGTTTTATAATCGGTTCACAATTTGTCGATAGCTCACTACAAGCTTAACCCTAATTAGAGAACTGAAATACAGAGAGGATAGGTAATACGATATAATAGTAAAAACTAACCTGAAACTGACGGTTTAAGATGTTTTCGAATAAAACACCTTGTATCTGAAGGAATACAATACAGCAGTCAACCTTATAATCCGATTACGAAGGTATTTTGGTTACAGATGACCTACCAGTATCGCAAAGTATATGATTGAAACATTTATTTGAACTAAATAAATATATTTTTTAAATTGTACTGGTGTAAATTGTATTTTTGTTTTAATAAAACTTCTTTATTTTATTCAAAAATAAAAAGTTTCTTGCCATTTGTAAAAGATACATTTATTTGTGGAAAGGGGAAAGGCGCCAAATGTCGCCTGGTAAAATTTTCAATGTGTTTTAAATATATCCATTATTTTCGAATCAGGACAAAACTAATAAATATTTTTGAAAAATTTAAACGCAGAATGAAAGATTACATTATTACTGAGGGTAGAAAGTCCCTGAAAACTTCTACAATGTTTATTTTAATATGTTGTGTAACAGGGGTGAAAATAAAAGAGAATATATAGTATAATTTTTAATTGAAAATATTGCATTCAACAGAAACTTTTTATTTATTCTAATAAATATTTCATTCTGCCTTTAAATTTTTCAAAAATGCTTTTTAGTTTTCTCAGGATTTGAAAAAAAAATGGACACATTTAAAACACATTGAACATTTTGGCAGGCGACTTTTTGCACCTTTCCCTTTTAATACCTCGTGATTACAACTACTATTACTTACCTTATATAATTAATAATTAGAAAACTATTCAAATTCAAAATAAATAGGATCAACTTCGGAATCCGAGTCGTCTGGAGGGTTAATAATTAGCAGTTGTGTCTCTACGGTCGCATCAATTATGTTATCAAGATCCCACAAATTTTGTTTTTCTTCTATTACATTTCTTACTGCATCTTTCCAGTTTTGTTCTGTAATATGTTGTAAAGACTCGTATAACAATTCACGTACAGCTTGTATTTTATATGACGTATTTTTTCTAGCCACATAACTTTTCATTTGTGCCCAAATGAGTTCAATTGAATTTATTTCGCAGTGGTAGGGTGGAAGTCTAAAGACTGTGATGTCCATTTTGTCAACTACGTATTTCTTGCCGGGCAATTTTTAAAAGTTCTGCTTTTACCATTCCATCTTCGTAAGGCAGATACTTATTCCGCAGCCAGTCAAGAATATCCTGTTGCTTCCACGCAGTCGTTGGAAGTCTTTCTAGTGGTCGTGAATGATAACGTTCATTATCTAATACTATAATTGAATTTGGTGGTATGTGTTCAATCATCTGCTCAAAATACTCTTCGAAAACATCAGCTGTCGTCTCCTCGTGATAGTTTTTTGTGCTTTTGGACTGAAATTTCAACAAATAATGCTTAACAAATCCTTTTCACTGCCAATGTGAGAAATTATTAATCTACTGCCTTTACCAGATGGTGGGGAGATACCAGTAGACCAACCTTCGATAAAGTAACAATAAAACACTGAAAACTTTGGTTTCAAACTTCCACAAAATTTATTTTAAATCTTATCACTACAGCTGTTTCGGCTGATTGCGTTTCTCAAGTGATCTATTTTTGGCTTGGGTTTACAAATTTATAGTCTCTAATGAAATAGGTTGAGGAGGGGAGAACTGCTTGTCTCCAGTTGGTCATTCAGAATTATATCTGTGTTTTTTTATTTGTTGATTTCCATAGATTCTAACAAAGATAGCTTAAGGCCTTTATTTTGAAAGTGAAGAATTTTAAATTTGTCATTAACAGAATGATTATGATTTAGAGGGTGAAGTGCGTATGTCGAATCTGTTTTTCTATTCTTGAAAGCCCTTTTATGTTTTGCTATTCGTTTATCAAAGTTTCTACCAGTTTGACCGATGTAAGTTTTTAGGCAGTCGCCACATTGAAGTTTGTACACACCACTATTTAAGTGTTTTTTATTTTGGCTCTTGTTATTTTTAATATATTTGCCTAGGTTGTTATTTGTTCGGAAAGCTGGTGTTATTCCTTTCTTTTTAATATGTTTGGCCATTTTTGTTGTTATTTTCACTGTATATGTAATCGAGCAGAAGGTACTGGGTTTTTTATCTGGTGGTGGAAATACTAATTTCAGGGCTTTCTTGTGTAGTTTTTGATTTAACAATTTATTAATTGTTTATTCGTTGTATCCGTTGTTTACTGCTATTTGCTTAATTATATTTAATTCTGTCTCAAAGTTGTATTTTGACATCGGAATTTCTATTAATCTATGTAACATACTATGATAAGCTGCCAGTTTATGTTGTGTTGAATGGGATGATGAATTGTGTATAGTTGTGTCAGTATGGGTAGGTTTATGAAATAAGGAGGAGTCATGTTTGTTTATATAAACAGGCTTGAGGATAAAGGCTTTTATAAACAGGATAAAGGCTTACCTGGAGCTTAATATATTTCTATCTGACCAAATTTTTGTAAGAGTATAACCTGAGTTTACCCACGTTTCATCCTGGTTAGAAGATTGGCCTTCCTTCAGCCCAGAATTTTCGTATGTATCTTAGATAATTTCTTCTCTAACATATTATCTCCTTTCGGTCAATCAAAAGTGATTTTCGGTCTGATTTGTCCCACCGGAAATTTATTTCTTTTAAAACTTGCCACAATTTAGTTCGTCCGATATGAGGCAAATCCAGGTCGTCTCTAACTTCTTGTAAAATTTTGTTTAGGTTTGGTATTTCTTTTTTGAAAAAAAAAATCCATGAATTTTCCTTCGAATACCATTTTTTGCAAATTCATTAATTTCAAATCATGAATGTGTTGCTTGTGTGAGTCCATATCAAATAGGTAAAGAAATAATAATAAGACTTACTCACAATCAATTTAATTTAACAATCAGACGACCGGTTTCGCTTTCTACAATTTGCAAAGCATCTTCAGGTCTAGATACAAAGTTAAACTAATGATGCCGGTACTCTATTAATTGATGGATGGTAGGTCATGGTTGCAAAAATGATGTATTGTTAATTTGAGAACTTTAATGTGCTATTGCAGTTGTTTTGACAATAAACGGGAAGTTCTTGAGGAGAACAGATTTGATCCAATGAATTAGAGATAGGTATATTGTGGTTGTTTGTCAAATAAAAGTGATGTTCTTTACTATTGTATTATTTAAATTATTTACACTTATATCAGAGATATATTTTTGGAATGTGTGTTATTTATTGAGTATTTATGTTATGACGGAGACAGTTTTATGACAATGAATAAGAGTAGCTGTACCGATTGTGTGGTTGTGCAATTATTTTGACTTGTAATTATCAAGTCTATTGGCAAAATTAATCAATTATTGTAAAGTCAAGTATATAAAAAGTATATAAAATTATTACAAACTAAGACAATCAGGGACAAATTAAACACACATTAACAGGAACAGAAACACTAAATGACGGGACAAACATTGAATTTAAAACTTAAACTTGGGGAATGGAAGAAACTGCAAGCACTACATCTCAGTGTTGGAAGTAATCTTAAGTAAATTACTTCCAACACTGAGATGTAGTGCTTGCAGTTTCTTCCATTCCCCAAGTTTAAGTTTTAAATTCAATGTTTGTCCCGTCATTTAGTGTTTCTGTTCCTGTTAATGTGTGTTTAATTTGTCCCTGATTGTCTTAATTTGTAATAATTTTATATACTTTTTATATACTTGACTTTACAATAATTGATTAATTTTGCCAATAGACTTGATAATTACAAGTCAAAATAATTGCACAACCACACAATCGGTACAGTTACTCTTATTCATTGTCATAAAATTGTCTCCTTCATAAAATAAATACTCAATAAATAACTCACATTCCAAAAATATATCTCTGATATAAGTGTAAATAATTTAAATAATACAATAGTAAAGAACATCACTTTCATTTGACAAACAACCACAATATACCTATCTCTAATTCATTGGATCAAATCTGTTCTCCTCAAGAACTTCCCGTTTATTGTCAAAACAACTGCAATAGCACATTAAAGTTCTCCAATCAACAATACCTGATTTTTGCAACCATGACCTACCATCCATCAATTAATAGAGTACCGGCATCATTAGTTTAACTTTGTATCTAGACCTGAAGATGCTTTGCAAATTGTAGAAAGCGAAACCGGTCGTCTGATTGTTAAATTAAATTGATTGTGAGTAAGTCTTATTATTATTTCTTTACCTATTTTTCATTAATTTCAATTGGTAGAATACCCAATGCTACTATACGCAAGAGATCAGGAGTAGCAGACGTTATTAAAAGAAAAACAACACTAAAGTGCAACTGGGCAGGTCATGTAGCAAGATCAGTTGATGACCGGTGGACAAAAAGAATTTTGGAATGGAGACCCCGAATACAAGCTTACAGAAATAGAGGTCGACCCCCAACGAGATGGACAGACGACGTAAAAAGAGTGACTACAAATTGGATTCAGGTGGCGCAGAATCGGACTAAGTGGAAAAGCATGCGAGAGGCCTATGTTCAGCAGTGGACGTTAGAGGCTAGTTGATGATGATTAATTTCAATAGGCTTTTCCCCCTCTTTAAGTGTTCGTTTGTGTTTGGGTTAGCTATACCGTATTTTTTTCTTTCTGATAGGAACCTTTATATAGTTGACTCCCCTACGCCAGTCATGTTTGCACAACTTTCAACTACGTTGCGAACAGTGTTTGTGGGATTCTGAGAAACCAGAGCATCGTGAACATTCAGGACAATAGTCTTCTCTCTTGGTGAATAGACAGACTTACTGACTGTACGCAACAGTACCGGTGTAAAACTTAATGATGTTGATAATGAAGCCATCACAAACAATCCAACAAAACGAGCACGAGCGAAAGGTACGTATATCTTCGTAGGTATATGAAATAAAAAATCACTCACGCACTGCATATAATTCGCAAAAGAAATATTCGAGACGCTAATTACTGCTGTAGACGCGGAAACACCGACGAGCCGTAAATTACATGCGATCAAAAACGTACTAAACAAAAGAATTGTTTACGTTCGTAAAAACTTCACCCTTTCAAATTAAGTTTCGAATATAAATTGAACAGACGAGGCACGTGGCCAAAGCCGGCATCTTTATACCCATTATATTATTAAAAATTTGGGGAATTCCATCCTAATTATCTTGAAACGAATAGTCTCTTCGGAAATAAATTTCAGGTTTTCTATTAAAGTAATTAAACGCAAAGATTAGTATTGAAATATCTAAAGAAATAAGGTATTCTTATTTACAAAATTTTTAATAGGAAAATTCTTATTTTTATTAATATAATATAATAACCAACATTAGCCGTGAAAGTTTTAATTGGTTTTTGCTAAATATATTATTAAAACATTATTAATATTGAAAAACATTTTGGAAAGGAAAATAAATGTAAAACGCATTAATTTTAATGAATAAACACCTCAGGAACGCCTATGATGATACAAATTTTACGACCGTTTTATAACTTTGATTCCCATTTCGTGCTCTCAACAATTTGGATAATAGGGTAGTATTTAACAAGTTTATACCTCTGTACTTTTCTGGCTGTTTTTTATCTACTTTTTTTAACAGTAGAATTAGTTAGCTCGTTCTATATTCTTCCGGTATTTTTGTGTTTTATAATTTTATTAATTAATATCGTTAATGGTTCTGTCATTGCACAATATTTCAGTAATTTGTTTGGTATCCCTTCTTTACCTGCTGCTTTTCTGTTCTTCAGTTTTTCAAGTATTTTACGACCTTATTGTATATTTATATTAAATTCTTCATTTGTGGTCATTTCTATTGTTTCCGGTTCTAACGTCGTTGGTTCTTCGTCTGGATAGAGCTTATTTGGGTAGTCAATTCACTAATCCTTTTCTATGTTTTTGGTGGTAATAGTTCATTTACCTCTATTATTTGACCTCTTATAAAACGCTATACTTTCTTTTGCAGACTGTAAAAATCCTGTTCCATTTCTTTCGAAAAGTGTTCCCTGCGATCATTTTAAATATTTCTTACAAGTGCATGTGTTTTGTTTCTAATTGTCTTGTAACTTTGTAACTATGCTGTGCCTTTTATGTTTTGGTTGACATGTATTTCAGATAAACTTTTTTCTTGTCTTTAAGTTATTTTTTCACTTCTGTACCAAACCACGGAGTTCTTCGCCTTGGGGACGATTTATTTTGATTTATATTTCTTTCATCAAGACCTTCCTTGCCCGAGGCTAAGATATTAGACTTAGTTTGTGTCCAGCTTTCTTTATCTCCATCACTTTCTGTGATATATGTGTTTCTGCTTTTTTGGTTATTCTTTTTTGGAGTAGGTACCTTGCGGAAACATTCTGTAAGCTTTCGACTTTTATCGATAAGTTTTATTTATTTATTTAGAAGGGGAAGGAGTACAATTGTTTTGTTTTTACTAGTTTTTGTTCAGTACATACCCCGTATGCTATATTATTAAGACATTCACCGGAAGTCACGTGGGGATGAGGAATAATTTTTAGTTGAGAATTCCCTCCAGTGCTGTCCCTAGGGATCAACCGTAAGATCTCAACACGTTTGTTTTTGATTTAATTTTTTGTCATATTCACTTACTTAAATTGCATAATAATAATATTCGTAGTATTTTTTACTGAATTGAATTGAACTGAATTTGGGTACAAAAATAAAATTGACTGGTATTTGCACCGAACCCCGTAAGCACATCTAGGCTGGTTTGGTGTATTCTACAGGTTTCTTAAAATATTTTTCTGATTACAAAGACCTCGTCGTTACAAGTTTTTTGGCTTCTGAATCCCTCCTATTCATCTGATATATTATGTATTTTTAATAACTTATTCTTAAGAATTTTTGTTAAGAATTTCAAAATAGTGCTTAACATATTTTTTCCTTTTTAGTTGCTGAAATCGATTTTCGCTTTTCTTAAACGGTGGAATCATAAAACTGATTCTCCATTTTTCAGGTATTTGTCCTAAACTTTATTAAACTTGATTGTTAACTATTGCATTAGCTGTGGTCCGCCACTTTTTATGTCACCATGTCTGTCGCCTAGAGCTTTCTTTTGTAGTTTTTAGCGATTTTCCTTGTATCTTTATTATAGGTTAGAATACCTTTGACAAAGGTACATGAGAAAGGTAGATTAATCCGTGGTATGTCCTTAAAAAATGACTTCGAAAAATTGTAACAATAAATCATTGATTTCGATGAATGAAATTATTTTTTCCGTTCATGTGTAATCCTAGGTAGGTACACCAAATAGTCATCTCTTGTCAAGACAATTATTTTTCTAATACAAACGTTGTACATGCGATAAAAAATGCAGTCCCTGGAATTTCAAACTTTAATAGAACTTTTAGGAAGCTAGTTAGGACTAAAACTAACCATTTTATCAAAAACTTCTTATTAATAGATTTTTCCAATATACTCCTTTTACAAAAAAAAAAGTCATAAGTTTATAAAGACATAGGGGATATCAAATTTTTCTTATGATTTTCTTTTCTATATATGTATTAAATAAAATACCCCCATAAATATTGACATTTTTATTATATTTACATTCAGTTTTAATTTTAGAATGAAATCACTTCTATTTCTTCTGATCTTCTATAACTGGCAGGTTTCCTTCGCCCAAAAGTGCTCGAGCCCGGATGTATTAAGAAAGAAATCATTTATTTATAGAGTACCATCATCTCAAATTGAACTGATAGAATGTTTCTATACTGACGGCAACCCGCACAATAATTATTACGATATTACTGACAACTGCGTAACTGCTGCCAGGACCAAAATATTTATTGACAAATATGGCGAAGAACACAATGTTAATGTGGATGGATCCAAAATTTTTCTTAAAACATACGATGCCAAAGCTGAGACATCACAGAACGTAGTTTTTCTTAAGTGAGTATTGTATTAAGTAAGCAAATCCGATCATTGAAATAAGGTTTTCTAAGATGAGTTCATAATTCTTTTTGCTAGCATTTCCAAGTGTGCTTTTCTGTATCAAAACATTAATATTTTATTTATTGGCTTCAAAACTTACAATAGAAGTAGATCATGTCGCTTTGTCGCACAATAAAGTATATCGAGAAATATTATTGCTGCAAGAATATGATTTCGAATTTAAAGACATAAAAGGGAAATATAACATCATCGCGGACGATCTTACTACTGATAAAAACTTTTAAGACTAGAGATCAATAGAATGAGAGGTAGGGATGGCAATTATTCTATGAGAGAGATCATAAGATATCAGTGATATGAAACAGAAAATGAAATATTCAGAAAGGGAAAACGATATTTATATTAAAATATATACTTTGCTTTGTTTACACAGTTTTTAACAAAGCAGAGACCGTCAACAGTTTGTTGTCAACAAACACCACATGATATTGCCCAAAACAGGTGTACCAACTTGCATTCAAAAATCTCCCACAGATTATAGAACAAAAATACAGGAATGAAACTTTGTAGAGTTACTCTTTAAAACATGGCCGTTAATTTAAAACGATTACCGGAAAAATGGCACATAGACCTATGTGCCCCTTGTCCGGAAACCTCCCCAATTACGAACATTTAGTTCTCAATCAATCATTAAATAACAGTGCGAACAGATAATCGACTTAACCAAGTGCGGTTTAATTAAATTTTTATTTCTGTAATATTTTTGTATTCTTTGAATTTAACTTTAATTCATTTTGTGTGCTTTGTTATTCATTTTCTTAATTTTTTATTTACTATACCCAGTATCTCGAGATATGCCCATTAAACAGCAAAGATAGACTTTTTTGATCAACTTCTTTTGAATTTTTTTTTCTTACTCACTAATTGAACCTGTGCATTATTATATTGTTGTATTTGTAAAGGTACTTATTATTCATATTACTGCTTATTTTTATATGTATATAGCCATCGATCAATTGATGGTGTATTTTCATTACTTGTGTGTACATTCAGCTGCCTATACCATTGTGGTGTTGAATATATTGTTTTTGTTTTATGTATGAATTTTATTTGTCGACTCCTAACAAGTTTCCTGATATAACAACAACTCTGAATATTTGCTTTTTAACTTTAATTATTATTATACCTTCGACCAGAAGAAAGAGCAGGCTGATTTAGTTCGTAGGTAAGTAGATGGACGGAGTCCACCTAATATATTTATCATTTGTTTATATAGTGTGTTGACCAAATTTATTTAATAATTAACTGTTGGTATCTTTCCTTGGATTTGGTCTCAGAACCTAAATATATTTCCTTATCTCTTTTCTTTTCTACGGTTTCTTAATTTCCCTTTTAAACCCCAAAAAATTGAGTGGCACCCTGTTCCTATCTTATCTGATCTTTGGTAATTTTACCCATCTATCTTTTTTATTTATTTCTGTATCTTTTCTCATATATCTTATCTTGTCCTATCTCTACTTATTTCCTCCGTTGGATCCATTCCCGGTTCAAAAACTAGTTTCGAACCCACGACTCGCTCTCCACCAACCATCTGACTACCGTCCGTAGTGTCTCCATTGGTGACCTTTCTAGCACCATCCAAAAAAGGTTTCCGAGGATACAACTTTAGACTCTTCTCTCACACTTTGTGCTAGTTAGTTGGGATAGTTCTCACACGCTCTTTACGTAAACCTTACCTTGGCATATGTACAAAAAGGGTGTACATATGTGGGAAATTATTAATATAATTTCCGTGTATGTGGACTGTATTATATAGGGCTGGTTCAATAAAATTAGGATATGTAATAAAAGGTATACAGACAATAGCAAATTAAGTGTATAGAAAGTCTTACCAATATTTTTTCTGCTCCACACTCTCACGGTTTTTCTTTTCTTATGCGGAATATGTCCGGGCACACTCGCCGTTTTTCTAAACACATGTTTCGCGGTACTACACTTTGCGAGATAAGAGCACACTTTGTCTGTACACGATTTAAAATAGTGTTTGCAGTATTTCTCGCGCAACTAAAACTGGAGAGAGATAATTAGCGACAAACAGCCAAGATAGATGCTGTTCTTCTTGATAAGCGAAGAGAGAGATAATGGTCTGTCCTTAGCGACAGGCGACCATCGAGAGAGTGAGTCTTTCTTCTTTGCTATCTTAGAACTGTCTGTATTTCTTATGGAGAGGGGGTAAAATGTAAGTAGGAAGGGTTATTAAGGGTTGGACTAGGATAATGATTGTAAAATTGTGATATAAGGATAGTTAATAATATAGCGAAAAAATGACATGGTTTTTGGCATGTGAGAAAATTGAACATACTGTGGGCGGGCGAGAAGAGTTACGCCACTGGGATAGGATATCAAATAGTTACTTCGAGAGTGAGGATAAGTCGGTATAAATTAGAAATATTGTTGTAAAAACTAAGATAACTAAGAACTATTTAAAATCTAGTGAAACTAAAGTCTAACTTATAGAAATAAGAAGCTATATTTGGCTGAAAGCGCCACTATTGGTTAAAGGGTAACCTAGCTTTCTTTATAAACCTAAGGTATTCGCAATTAGATGTAGATACACCTGTTTCAGCAAGAGAATCCTTGCCTGGGAGCAATTCGATTAATTTTGCCAGAGGCCAGAGGAGTGGGGAAGTCTGTTCATTTTTGATTACTACCACATCACATATCTTTAAAAGACCAGAAGCGATGCTCAACTTACTCCTACTTTGTCGTAGTAGCATATGCGGTACAAGCAGTAGAAGCGTCAGGCATATGAAAATGAAATTTTAGAGATCAATATGTCATATAATATATATCATTGTCCCAGTCTAAGGGCAATAACCAGAGGCGTTTTCCGAAAGATTTAGAGTGTACTCTCAAAGATAAGAGTTTTCTTAAGAAGTTATACATTCGAGACACATAGGCACATAATTTTCTTTTTGTTAAGGCACCTTAAAAGAGAAATCGTCTTGATAAGGTGACCTGTTAATACCTAAGAACTTAGAGAAACTGTTAACTAAGTCAATATTGACTTCTGAAGTGGATATCAGATTAAATTCATTTGAAAAGGCACGAGAACTTAAATATATTTTATAGAATTGGAAACTGTGAGTTTTTAGAAGCGAGCATAGTTGAGAATAATGTATGTGTATCCTTTTCAAGTTATTGGCACTGGTCAAGATATTGTCGATATTTGCAGAACTTTTTAAAGTATGAGTGGCCACTGAGTGTGTCGTTTGATTAGCAAAAGTTTGAACCTGAGTGACAGTAAACAACGGAGAAGGGCACGTTACATTGACGTTCACTATATCAAGAAGCGGCAAGACAGACTGAGCCATCAAAACCGGAATATTGTCGAATACTGCGTTTGGCGAGTTGTTGTTACTTGGCCCTTTACGAATGGTAGGACCACGGTAACAGAAGAAAAGGTATGAGTAAGAAAAGTTTGTCTTGAGAGAACTTTGATGACAGCCATGCCAGTATGAGGCTGTGAGAGGAGTATTTGATTTTCGTGTATTAGTGGAGGAGGTCTGGACTTATTAGAAGGAGAGATGATTTTCAAAAAATCGGCATGTACATCACCTTCTTCACAAGGTGTTGCAATTGATATTAAGTCGATAGATTTTTGTGTTGGAATTTTATTCAAATACAACAAAGTGGGAGTGAATATATTTTGAGCTTGAATAGAGAGTTTATTAACCTGTCGTATATTTAGTGTCATATATCTTGAGTTTGTATACAAGTTGTGGAAGGTATATTTGCCAATTCGTTTGGCACACCGCAATAAGGCGGTACTGGAGTTAAGTTTTCAATAACTAAAGGAGACAAATTGAGAGTTGTCAGAATCGGAGCAGAAACTGAAACATTTTGTGTATGTAGAGCTTGAGTTGAAATCAAAGTATTGGATTCTTGCAATATTTGTGGGAAAGAAATGTTAAGAAGTACAGGCGATGCAGATATTACAGTTTCAGTAATCGCATCTTGTTCTGAAGTAGTTTGAAAAGAGACTGTTTGTGCTGGTAACACATTTTTTAAGAGAGGCTGGCCTATTACGTCTTGAGAACTAATGTTATTAGAAGTAATTTCATAAGTCGGCTTTTCAAGCTCTTGCGTCTGAGCTTGAACAATTGCAGAATTAAATGAAGTACTTATATTTATTTATTTCATCTGTTTGAACTGATTTGGAAGACAGTAGGAGTAAAATGTATTTTTAACTTCTTTCTGGCCATTTATATTCAAATCGTTACTTTTAACAATGTGACTGGAAGTATTCGCCTTAAATGTTGTATCAAATTTAAAGGCTTGTCTAGCT